CCTTGGGCGGCGGCAAGGCCGAGAAAAGGCCCCGGGCCCGGCGCTCCGTCCAGGCTCCCTCGCCCGCCTCCGACCCTCCTCCTCCCCCCTCTTCTAATTCTTCTTCTTCGCTGCCACCCTCCTCTTCTTCTTCTTCTTCTTCTTCCTCCTCCTCCTCCTCCTCGGCTGAGTCACTTTCCGCCTCCGACTCCTCCTCACTGCTAGCGTAGGCCACGAGTGACATGTCCCCGACTAGGGCTCCTGCGCGAGTCCGAGGCTGTGTCCGCCGGACTAGGCCGCGGTGCCCAAGCCACTAGGCCCGGAGGGTCGTCATGGCAACGCCGCCACGGCCCGCCGGAAGCAAGGGCCGTGCGGTGTGGGCTCGGAAATAGCTCCCGCCTTCCCCTCGCGCCGGGGGCGGTTGACGGCCCGCTCCAGGCCCAGCGCGGTTTCCGCCTCTGCTCCGGGTAATGGCGGCCGCCGTGGAAGCAGAAGTCTGGGGATGGCTTCTTCTTCCTCCCGCCTTTCCAGGGCCGCCGCCGAGGCGGAGAACTACAACTCCCAGAAGCCCTCTCCGCGAAAGCTGCCCTTGGCTCCGAGCGGGTACTGCCGCGCGGGGCTTGCTGGGAGTCTGAGTCCTTTGGTGAGGCTGCGGCCTTGTTTTCCGACCTCCCGGACGGAAAAGGTCGCCACTCCCGTCAGCCTTTGCGCGCGGTTCGGCCCGCGCGCTCCAAGAAGACTCAAAATGGCTGCGCGGGGTGGGCGGGGCCAGAGCGTCCCCTTCCCGTCGGAAGCGGCCCGGAAGCGCTTGCCGGGCGTAAAGAAGCCGCGCAGACTTGGGGGCGGGGCGGGGCGGGCAGCTCGTCCCGTCCCTCCAACCAGCGCCCACCCCCAACGAGGTGCCACTTTCAGGGAATCTCCTCGGCATCCGCCCTGGGCGCGTTGCGCCGGGAAGGGCGGAGGCACAGATCCCAACCTTGTCCTCACGAAGTCCCGAGTACACGGGTTCTCACGCGACATAGTCTTCCATACACTGACCCTTGGAAGATGCGGGCTCGCACGCTCTCCCGGGCCACGGGGACATGTGGGGTGGGGTGAACACTCGGCTGGGCTGTCCCCCCCCGGGCGGGGAGGCTGGGCTCGGGATGGTCTCAGGCCAACGCCCACCCTAGGGGTACAAGTCACTTAGTATTTTCCTTGAAAGCAAGAGTGGGGGCTCAGGTCCGTCGGCGGAAGACTACCGTTCCCGTCATGCCCCGGGCGGCTCGGCCCTGGCTCCCG